CACACCCACACCCTCAAGATCGGCAATATGTATATAACTTTAATAGTCGAACTCGTCGTTTCTATATCAACAAAATGGCTAAATTGGTCCATATCGTTTACAGTTCACAAAAAAAAAACATACAACTAGTAAATATTAGTCACGCAAAGAAATAGAAGAAAAGTCGTAGTAGATTTCATCATCAACTTCTCATTATTTTAGCTTTCGTGTAATATTGAAAATGTTAGTTTTATTATTAAAATGAATCAGAAAAAGAACACAATAAAGTTATTGATACAAAATTGATAAAACAAAAATTGGTAAACTGGATTTTTTCCATCAAGAAATAACGCTGTATGTATTGAAGAGAAATATTTCAATCCTCTCAAAATATTTACATTTCGAACTCGCTTAAACAAGAATTAGTAATAGCAAAAATAGAAATTGATCGAAATCTATAAGAATGCTGATACAATATGGAGAATATTACAAGCCCATTTATGATTTCTATCAATTATAATGAGTAAGATTTAATATAGATTTACTTATTGTATAAGTTTACCTTGACTACAGTGAAACATATGACTAAAAATGTTCTTCACTTGATATTCAATCAACCGTATTAGAGCCTACAAAAGAAAATAAAAGTTCAGAGAATTTTTCTTTCAGAATGAATGTTGATCAAATGGAACAATCTAAAGATGAACACGATTCACACGTAACCATTCAAATCAATTCTAAATTTAAAAATGTATCGAATTTGAATGATGATTCAAAACGGTTCAAACTAGATTCTTTCCTAAAGGAAGTAGGGTGTGGGCGCGCATAGGGGTGTAACTTCAGGAGAGAACTAAACCCACACGCACGCCCATAGGAAAAGAAAAATATATGCACAAATTCTTATATATGCGCTTTTTGTAATTATGATATGAACATTTTTTAAGATGTTTGGGAGGGAGGGAGAGATGGATAATACAATATTAGGTTTTTATTTAAAAATAAGCAGTTTTTTTCATTTTATTTTCTTCTGATGCTGATCTTTTCAGTAATAATTTTTTTTTAAAATTTATTTATCCTTATTTGATAAATATAAAATGTTTTATTTTCATTCATTTTTTATTATTGGAAACAAAAAGGATAAACTAACAAGCATACTTGAAAATATACTTTTGATAATCAGATAAAACGATATAGTTAGAAATAAAAGTGACATTGAAAGGATTTATTTGCTTGTTTATAAACAAATAATGAGAATTACCACATAAATTTCAATATTGTAGTCTGATGGATATGGGTGTGAGTAAGAAGAAGAATCATGTCTGCACCCATTATGCGAGAAACAATCCACCAACAATATAATCGAATATTTCTGCTATATGTTGACAAAATGAGCTAAATTTTTTCCTGATGTATTCAAAACTTGTTTTTTTTTGCTAGTACTTCCATCAATAAATCAGACACACAAAATGCAGAGATTTGAGAATTGTTGTTTTGGTATATTCGATTTCATAGAGCATTTCCCATTGGTTATTTCGGTAAAAATGTTTTCTTATTTTCATCAGCAAATAAAACTACTCAAGTAACAATACTGGAAAAACTACAATTGTTTTAACATTCCAGAGCAATATGATGTTTTTTTTAATATTTTGAGGATAATCCTACCATTTGTTGATGAAAATCGAAATTTTATTTTAACAAAAGTCATCAATGAAAAAACCTCTACAGAGTGAAATACATCAGAAACTAAGGTGGGAGTGGTGTGGGTGTAGGTGTCAGTAAGTGTGAATACTATTCTAATCCACACACACCCACACCCTTGTTAAATAGGTTCGAAAAAGTTGGATAACAGTCTTTGTAACAGGTTTACTACAGGTTGGCAGGTTACAATATTCGTGCCTTGCAACCTCCCCTGTTGGTACCGCAACCTGAAGCTCTCTACATGTAAACAACAAAATCCGTTTTTTATCCATTATTGTTGAATCAGCGTATATTTGTTAAAAAAAAAGAAAAAAAGATCCAATGGTACTTTGTTGAAATCATCAAGTAGTATTAGTTTTATGAAATTTCCAATACGATTGTATCATAACAATGAGAGATTTGAACAAACAATCATACATCTAACAATTGCAACCGTAACCAACTGATAAATTCATCTTTTACGAAAGTTTGTTCTTTGTAGTCATCATCTACTAAACATCGTTTTCGCTTGCATTGATCATCTTCACATTTCACGTATAACTTTGACAAAACAACATATTGATATTCGATTTTTCACACAAATGTGAAGTTCTTCACATTGCATAGCAAGACGTGAACGACTGCATCTTATACATTGCTCCTCATCATATGGTTTCTTGTATGCAGTTAAATTGAGTCCTTTTAACCACGTATTCTTGATTTCTAAAGGTAGACTTTCTGCAGAACTTTGTAGACGCCATTCTGCAAAGCCTAAGAGCGATAGGCTGAGTGCACGAGAAAGTAGAAGATCAAGTTCATTTTTACATTCTTTACTATCACCAAAAGATGTTACATTGCATGAAATAAAATGACTCAATGTTGGAACCATTGACCAGAAATGGTCGCTGACAGGCAATCCTATGATTAGTTTTTCTATTTTGTGAAACTGAATATCGGATAATTGGAAATATATATGAGAACCAGCATAATACTCTAAATGACGTACAGCATCGTATGACTGTTTGTTTTTCCCTTGGGTGGGTGTGGGTGGGTGGGTGGTGTGGGTGTGGGTGTGGGTGTGGGTGGGGTGTGAGTGTGGGTGTGGTGTGGGTGTGTGGGTGTTCTTCTTATCTTCCAATACAGTCACCCACACCCACACCCACCCCACACACACCCACACCCACACGCACACCCCACACCCACATCCACACCCACACCCCACACCCACACCCTGCTTCTCGGAATTTATTCGATTTTGTCATAAAGGTATAAAATAAACCAAAAGAAAACTATACAGATGGATAGGGTAATTAATGCTCTCACTAATCATACAGAAAGAAAAAAATGCTAAAGTCTTGCAGAGATACAGCAAAACGAAGAAAACTAGTAAAAATAAGTGAATCATCCTGTACAGATATTTATAGTTCAAGTATTGCTGTGAAATGATATCGAATATCATATGCAGAATTTTCATTGCGAGCATTTCACTTTAATAGTCAAATCGTTCAAGTATTGCATCCATTCATTAACACAGCAAGATGTTATCTATTATTATTCTTTTGCAATTAGTTTGTTTTAGGAATATTGGCAAGTTTTGCGAGATAAAGTTAGGACATATATGAAAGAAGATAATGACCCTACTTAAATTATAAAAATAATAGATAAGAGGGAAATGATGAAAAAGTCAGCTGACTACTTTAAATATGGAAACAAAACACGTATAAATCAAAAGAAAATGACAATGCAATAAGATTTAACTAATATAAATGTCCATTTGATGATTCGGATAAAAAAAATATCTTTCTTGTCTGTTTATTAGCTTTAACTCAATAGAATGTATTAAGGTAGTATTAGTAGTTGAAATCGTCTCGAGAATTGTTCTTTTGAAGCTAATATTTTCAATCTTTATGCTGCAATATATGATGTCTTTACAAAACGAATTTTTCAACTTCTTTTATTGTTTCTTAACTAAAATGATCCTCGTTTCTTCATATCCGTACAAAAGATGTTTTCACAAATGCTTGAAAGGATGAAATCATTATTCGGCATGGCATGATAACTAAATTACTGATATGAAAATTCAATAGACAAATAATTTGGTTCAATTTGATTTGATTTCCAACTAAAATTTTGAAAAAATAATAGTAAAATTTATTAAGGTTCACAGCTACTAATCGAATTACTTTTGGGGGAACGTTTCTTTTCTCTTGAATGAATCTGATTTATGTTCAACTACGAAGGATTCAGTTCATTTTGCTATCTCTTATTTCGATAAGTTCACAACATATTATTAAATCAATATATTTAAAATGATATTTCAGAAGTAGAATTATACAGTTTATTTAACAGATATTATTTAATCATATTAATATACACTAATTTTAATATTTCCTTCTTAGATTTTAAAAATGAATTATTCCTGTTGAAAGAGAAAACTAAAAAAAAGGAATATTCTTTCATTTATCACTCTTTCCATGATAATGATCTTATTCAAACGCTTGATATAAAGAAATGAAAAACAAAACAGTCGTCCGACAATGAACATAAAGAAGAAAGTATAGCTATAAAAAAAACAGTAGAAATAATCGTTGATATCTATATATATGACGTTGATTACAGGTTTCGATGATCTACCCGATCTGGTATTAATGAAACTATTTCATATTTATCATCTATCGACATACTCAGGGGATTTATTTGTACTATAAAAAGAAGCGAAATCATTTAAGTAAGAATTGAAAACGTAATACTATTCCGTCCTCATATTTTATTACAATATTGCTAAATAACAGAAATTGTTTGTATGAATAGACTGTAAAAGATGAATTATTGTTATTATTTGAAAATTTCAAACCAGAGGTGAAGAATCTTCCAAAAATCCAAAAAGTTCGTATAATTCAATAACGTATTTCATTAACAGTAAATGTAGGACTATGATTGATACAACTAAAACACTGAACATTATCGTTCTATTAATATGTTGAAATATATGATAGAATTTTTCATTCGATATGAGAGACCTTTCTGAAAAAATTGTATGAAATCGTTTCACTTTTCACTGAGAAAGAGACAATGAGGATGTTAGTGTGAATGTGGGTGTAGAGTAGGTCTATCCGTGCACTCACACTCACATCCTCAACTTTTAAACAGCAACATTGATAATGGTGTTGAATTATCCAAGATTATCAACAAGCTTAAATTAGTTGAAAATGGATATCCAAATGTTATAGATGTTTACTAATTTCTTCTTACTTCAACCATAACTGTTGCTACTAATGAACGCAGTTTATCAAAATTAAAATTACTGAAAAATAATTCACGATCTATCGTGAGTAATGATAAAATGGAATGGCTTATACCTTGTTCGATTCAGAAAGACTTGTTACAAAACATCGACTTGTCCACATTTGCTGACGACTGTTAACTAATTGAAAAGCAGAAGGGTGGAAGTAATATTTGACTCGTGATATTCTTATATATACTATTTTTGCTTTATTTCATGATATTATGGAACGTATCTTTAAGTTTTTTCTTATAATAAATAATTCGCACAACTATCGCAAAAAATGTCTTATTTCATTCAACGAAAACATTCCATGCTATCTCAATTATGAATTTATAAGTCCTCCAAACTTTGGACACTCGCAACACCTCTGCAAAAAATATTACATTATCTTGATTATTTGACATGAAAAATATCACACATATAAGTAAAAGACAGACATTTGTGGATTAGAAAACAAAATTTAACGATAAACAATAAGATATTCTGCATAAGCTTGATCATCACGATATGTAACAAAGATATGATCTCCGTCCGTAGTCGAATCGAAACCTTCAGGCGGTGTTTTCATCAAATGATTTCCTTGTGTAGTATTACCCACTATTACATTGACTACAAACATGGATCGTTCACCATTCGATTGATTAGGCTTAGCGTAATTGTGACTGTAGCCTGCATTTGCTGAAAAATAAGCTCCTTGTCCATATACGACACCTAAAAAACTTGATACTTCACAAAAAAATTATAAAATAAATCGAACGAACCATTGACTCCAGCAAATGATCGATTGAAAAACGAGTTAATAATTAGTTGAACTGATTCTTGTGAACAGCCATGAAATAATATTTTTTCTGTGTCTTCCTTCGAGGAGAAACTTTTATATGAATTGTATTGTGTATACCATTGCTTATTTTGAATACGTTCTATACGAATTATTGTTGTATATTTGTGAGCCATCGTTTTATCAAATAATGCACGAACATCTTTGTATTCATCTGAGATTTCATGTAGGAAAAATCGCTCAACATTCTTTATTTGTAATTTCCAATGCGGTGGTACACGAACATCACCATGTCGAATAATTTCACGTTGTTCTTGAGTAGTCACACATGTTTCGATATAGTTTTTGAAATCAATTTCGTATTCTACAGATTTATCGCTAATGTACTTGAACTGCAAAAACAATTGTTTATTATATTCAGATTTCTCAAAAGAAAACTAATTATGAGCGTTGGAAAACGTAGTACTTGTTCGTTTTTATTCTTATTGGATATACATATATTTATACACTTCATCTTAGAACGATGAAGAAAACAATCCTGTAACAATACTAAATCATGTAGTGCAAAAAGTTTTGTAAACTATTGATCCTATAGAACTATCTGAAGGTAATTCGAAAACCACGTTCAAACTCCACTAACTGTGACTCGAAACGGAGCATTGTCGACTATTACATTGCTATTCAATTTTTATTTGTCGGCTACAAGCTTGGCATTCTGAAAACCGAAATGATCGACCTTTCACACTGTAAAACCGTGTATAGGTATCGATTATAGTCGCTAAGAACTCTTCGACGTTTGAGTAAGAACGAGCACGTCGTCATCGAGATAGTGATTTGCCATTAAAATGCCTTTATTTCTGCAGCTAAACTTGAGAATTGAGTAAAATACTCATCAATCGATTTTCTTGGAAACAATCCAATTGCAATAGTTTCAAGTGGAAAAGTAATTTAACAGTCAAGAGCATATCTGCATCGATCAAGTATAGGAAAAGATCAGAGAAGAAAATCGCTCAGATGAATCTTATGAAATGTACCTATACTATATATGGCAACAGTACAGCTATGAGAAAGTCTAGTACTGCCACTTCCTTACTAACCCAGGTCGAAAAATCGGATGGCAAGATCTTATAAGAATCGTACGTCTGATCATATCTAATGTAATAAGATCAGACGAAAATCGTACGAAAAATCGTCGTCTCTGATTTCTTACACTAAGTCGTATTAAAAGAATCTTGCAAGAATCTTTTAATACGACTTAGTGTAAGAAATCAGAGACGACGATTTTTTGTCAGATTCTTGTAAGATTTCGTCCAGATTACAAGATCTTATAAGATTGTGTACGATCTGACGTTTGGTTTTTCGACCTGGGAATTTCTATTCTCATTTTTCAACTTGTTCATGGTTTAGCAACCAACGTACAAGATCAAAAGTGTCATGGAATGACAAGCTACATTCATTCTAGAATAAACCAATATTTAAAAAAGACTCAAAATATTTCACAGGATTCGAATCCATCGAATTCAACATATTCATGTTGGTGAAAAAAAGTAGGAAATGATAAAAATAATTTTAAAACTTATTTCATGAATAACCTTGACAGAGAAAAGGGCACTTCTGTACGAAATCGATATTTTTCAGATTCAAGCAAATTTTGGCAAGTTTTTAAGAGTTATATTAATTAATTCATATTTCAACGTGAGTTTTCAAACAAGATGTATGTCAGATGTAAGCATGCATCCTATCATATCCATATTAAGAGAATAATATATTCCATTAGCAGCCTTATCGCATTAATACTTACCGTTTTCAATTTAGATATAAATGCATCTTCAATATGAGCATTTAATTCAGAGGGAAATTTCTCCCAATTGTTTTCATTTTTTTTAAATGCCCAAATTATATCTCGAGCAACGACCATCAAACGAGCATGTTCACTTTGTTTAGTTTGTTGTCGATAATATTCATTTTCTGTCTCTCTAACCGATTCTTTTGAACCAAATAATTTACAATAACCAGTATGAATATCCATTTCTGGTACAACAAGCCGTTGTAAACAATACATATAAAATGAATCAATAGTAGGTTGCGTCCATTTTTTTAGTCCACTTAGATCATGCTGTTCACTTACTGAAATTGATTTATGTACATAATCTTCTAAAGCCTTCTTGCATTCTTCTTGTTTTTCTATAATATTAGATACAATAATAATTGTCAGTGCTAAAATAAAGATATAATGGAATGAAGAGCATTTGAAATGATTTTGTTACATTATTTATTTACTTGTAAAATTATATGTAATATAGTTATCTTTTCTTGCCGCGTACTCTCCTTTTTGAAGACTTTCTAGCTTGGCTTTAAATATTTCAAAAACATCGTTTTGATCAGGTAAAATAATAAAATTTATTTGTAGCAAAACATTAGCCGACAATAATTGTCTTTGAGCTTCAGTTAACATTTCATGGGCAACAATGCTTTTATCAAAACAATATTTTCCACAACCCATAGCTGGAAATGCAATGGATGTATGATTAAACTTAATGGCATGTTGAACAGCTGTACTAACAAAATTTCGAATCGATTGATAAAATGCTTCTTGACTAGTTTGATTAATTTGCCACGTTAAAAATAAAAGTCTTCGACATTGCAATTTTCCTGAATCGATTTCAAAAATTTCCGATGGCGAGCTCTTTGCAGCTGTATTGTACTCTTTTTTGACAGATTCTCCAGCTTTTTGAAGTATACCATCGCATAGATATTTCGATGTTGAGGAGACAACAACAAGATCGATCTGAAGAGAAAATTATCAACTAATAATTATTATTGTTTGCTTAAAATTTCTGAATCTGTACTTTCTCTTCAGCTAAATCCCCCTTTTGTACTGTAATGGCTGCTGCTGTTAATTTATTCGAAACATCTTGTGTTAAGGCTTTGGGTATTTTATAAGTTTTTTTGGTAGTTTCTTCATGTATTTCGATTTGAGATCTGTATTGACGGGCAATATTTTTCAGATTAGTACATTCGTTAAGTGCTATTAAACCAAAAGCTTTCTCCTGAATTTCATAACTAATTGGTTTGCATAATGCAGCTGATAACATTACTTCCTCTTCGATTCTATCATGGAGATAGCTTGGAGCTGTAAATTCTCCTTTTTTCAAAGGTTCAATAATATTTGCGTCATTAAAATTAGTTTCAAGTGCTTTCATTTGGTCATGATAAACATCTAGTAAGAATTCGATCTGTATAAAATAAAATATTTTTGCTTTAGATTTCTTAAGAAAAAAGCCATGTATATTTAGATATTTTTTACCTGTTTCGGTTCTAAACAAAGTTTAAATGTAGTTGATGCACATTGTTTTTTAATTTGTTTAATTTGTTTTTCTACTTCTTGGACTATATCAATCAAACCATACAAATGAATATATCGTTGTTTCAGAATCATTACAATATTTTGAGATTGTAGTTGATATTCTAGTTTAAGAATTTCTTGTGCTAACTTACTTTTATTAGTTGTTGTTAAATCAGAAATGTATGGTAGAGAAATATCAAGATATATGAATTTATTAATAAATTTGTCAAGAATACCACTGCTAATACACAAATTATGTAGTTTGGTTGATTTGTATTTATTGAAATAAATTATCAGTACACCTATTGTTTCATAGCTGCATAGAATATGAAGATCTTCATACTCTTCACTATATATTTGAATAAGTCGAGCACAATCTTGATTTTTTTCTGAAAATCCTGTATCAGAATAAAACTTTTTATCAATATTTTATGCTTAACAAATTCTTTTCAGAAATTGAAAGCAATATCACCATAGACTAAAACTTCTTCTTTCAAATTTAAATCCATATATATATATATATATATATATATGACACAAACAAAATTTTATTCTCACGTTTTTTACTACTGAATATTTGATTCAGTAGAATTTTTTTTCAAATAAACTTTAAGACTAATTTGATTACCTGAATGAGTTTCGACCAATTTCGTCTCTGTTGCTTTAAGGAGAGCTTGTAATGATTCTGATGCCCGAACGTTGCTTGGTTCATTTTTACTTTGAAAGTTAATGATATAACTAGGGTATTCGAGATTCAATATATTTTTCACCTTAGTGATGTTCGTTTCCACTGAATATTTTCTTTTCATTTCGGTTTTTAAGCTATGACAGAATTTTGGTTGCTCAAAAAAGTTAACGCCAAGAAAACTACTTTCAATTGTAAGTTGATGATGAAATAACTCTGGATGAGTTCTGAAACAGAACGTTTTTCAAACAATCTTCCCATCTGTGTGGAAATAAATATTTAATTACAAGGTTTCCTTTTTCTGTGTAGTTGTTGGCGTCTACAAAATAAAAATAATAAACTGATAATAACGTATAAATAAGTTTTATTCAGTTGACGTTACCGTTTCCGAAAATGAATTTGATTCATCTGAAAGACTGCTCTATACGAACAATAGAATAAAACTAACAGCAGTTCGATGCAATTTGAAAATTTACCATATCATCTATTGCTGGTGTTTGAGCGATTGATCGCTTATCGTCCACTGGTGTTTCACATCTATCCTATATACACAGGGTTGAATTATCAATTATCATATCGATTAACAGATATTGTTTTTTCTTTTGTGTTTTACCGTGAATTCCTTTGCTTGTGATGTTGTACTCATTGATGAATGCAATCGATGAGTGGCAAATTTTTCCACCTCCTAATAAAATTTCACAGCTCATTATGTTGCAAATTTATTTCGAAAAATAATTACACTTAGATATTCTTCAAAGTCACCATTCATTATTTCTACTACAAAAATACGAAAATTCAAAAATAATGTTTGATTACCTGAAGTTTTTATTTCCATATATGAACATAATTCTACGTACTTCTGTATTGGTCCTTCTTATTTATCGATGACATGATTTTTAATACTCAATTAGACAACAACGGCAAATTAAATTAGCTGTCTGAAAACTGTCGAAAGCAAATGTATATATAAACGACAATCAATTTGTTTACTCAATGGTGTAGAAGAGGAATGTTTGCTAGTTAATAGGGATTGGCATGTGCGAATTCGATAAAAAAAATTCACGAACAAGTAAATATTTCAATGACTTCAGTTTTTTCTTTCGCGTTCTTTCTTTTTTTTTCTTGGTTTTTTTCCAACTTCACTTGGCGAAGGCGTTTGCATTAAACATCTTAATAAAATGCAAGTTTTTTTTTTCGGTGCAGTCAACTGTATTATGTGTCGCTAGGCATAATATATTGGATTAGAAAAAGGGTGTGGGTGTGAAGATGTAAATGTACATAAAACGAATACACACACCCTAAAATAGCCGATATTTGTTTCAATAGAATTCTTTAGAAAATGTTTTTTTTTGTGTTTTAGTTAAATGATGATTTAAAAATGGAAGAACCATGATTAATAAGAAATGATTTATCTTCATTAATGTTATACTAAATTCGAAAAAAATTAAATTCACTTTTTCAAAGATATGATGAAAATCAAAAGAAAAATGATCAACGTTATAATCATTTATGAGAACAGGTTAAAGATAAACAATAGAACAAAAAATATCTTTTCTTTTTCCGTTACATTTAATCACGATATTCATTTTTATATGATGGACATTTTATTTTGCTCTGATACGGGTGTGAGTGTGGGTGGGTGTGGGTGTGGGTGTGGGTGTGGGTAAAGAGGTGATTCAAACCCACACCCACACCCTCAAATAAAATACAATCAATACTATTTATTTCGAACTCAAATTTTTTAATGCATAACATTAGCAGAGATCAGAGGTGAGTTTGCAATTTGTGTCAAAAAGCTTGTATTCAAAGAGTTACTTAAACTTTTGTTTTCATTAAATAGTGACCCTCAAATATAGTCCATCAGATGCAAAATTTTAGGATCCGAAGTCGGATTCGTAGTGCTCGTACTCTCAATGCAAGTTTTTTATTCTCAATCTGATAATTATTTCAAAGATACTACATTTTCTTTTATTAATTTTTCGGGCAACCAGCACACTCTACACATTTTTCAAACAATTTTGACGATAATCTCATAATAACCAAGTTTTAACTAGTTCTTACGTGCTGCTAGAGCCTATCAGGTTTGAGTTCGAGAATTTGTGCCTGGATCCAGATCTGACTCTGGTCAACAGAGAAATTTCAAACCCAGGCTCAGAACTAGAGTTGGTTAGATTCTGAACCTATCTTATGAGCTACACATTGGAAAGAGTTTCTGATTTGTATTAGTGGAAACTAGAATTATGGCGACGCCGGAGTGCTCACAGAAAAGGAATCTCATTGTGGGTTTGTTCAGCGTGTTGAAAATTTTTGATTGGCATCTGAGAGTAACTGCAGAAA